CTACCACCAGTCTTATACCCCATTAACTCTACATCCCAGTCCTTCTCGAAGCCCCCTTCGACCACACCCGCCGACAGAAAAACTCCGTCCTCCTAGCAATTGACCTCACCAAAGCAGTTGCAGACGAAGCAATTGCCCGTCGCGACTCCGTAGTCGTAGCCTACCGTACGCAAATGCCCCCAAACACCTACACACCATCACCGACTAACACAACTTACACATCCAGACCCTATCATCTTTCGCGGCCTCAAATCCATCACCTTCAACGACCCCCAACAATCATCCCTCCTCCGTCTCGCCCAAGAAGGCATCAGCGTCTACTCCCCGCACACAGCCATCGACGCCACCCCCGGCGGCATGGCCGACTGGCTCTGCGACATCGTCACCGGCGCCATCGCCCCAACCACCAGCACAAAGCCCACCATCCAGAAATCCTCCTCAACACACTACACTCACGCCACCTTCCCCGACCCCCAGCCCGCATCCCCCGCGACTCCCGTCCCCCACGTCCGCAACACAATCATCCCCTCTCCGCCCCCAGTCCCCGAAGGCATGGACTCAGCCGGCATGGGCCGCATCGTCACCTTCGAAGAGCCCCAGTCTCTCACTGCCGTCGTGGACCGCATCGCCCAGGGCGTCGGATACCCCGGCGGTATTCCCATCGCTATTCCGCAGACTGCGTCGGTCGAGGACATCAAGATCCGCACGGTGGGTGTATGTCCCGGCTCCGGATCGAGTATCTTACTGAAGGGCACGGGCGGGAAGATCCCTGATTTGCTCTTCACGGGCGAGTTGAGTCACCATGAGGCGTTGGCGGCTGTGGAGCGTGGGTCGGTTGTGGTTGCGCTGGCGCATTCGAATACCGAGCGTGGGTATCTGCGTGCGGTGATGAGGGAGAAGTTGGCGGGTGCGGTGAAGGAGGAGTGGGAGGCGAAGAGGAAGGAGGGTTTGAAGGGTGGTACTGCTGGTGCGGAGCTGAAGGAGGTGTTTGAGGATGCGGAGTGTGTGGTGGATGTTAGTGAGAAGGATCGTGATCCGTATGGTATTATGATTCGTCAGGCGTAGATCGAGCCATCGACCTACTACATACATCAACTAAAGATGAAACAGCATATACAATACAAACGATTCAGACTTTACATATATAACTAAGAAGCAAATGCTTTCAAACACAATCCGCACTATATACATTCAATCCACAAATCCAAACACACAACCCACCCCCTATCAACCACTACAATAAGAAGATGCTAAATCAACTCAACAACACCCTAATCTCCCCAGTCGTCCTAGGGAACAACCTCCTCAACCCCCCCTTCTCCTCCTCACCCTCATCCCCATCCACCACACCTCCACGCGCCTCATTATCCGCCGCAATAACCATGCCCTCAACAAACTCAAAGTCCCTACAAAATGCCTCGACCGCATCCTCCGTAACGCTCTTCACGAACATCGCGCTCGCCACGCGCTTCAAGTTCTCCGTAGCATCCATCAACGCAGACGGAAGGAAGTCATCCAATTGCTGACTGATATTAACAAGCGCCTGTGGCTGGAAGGCCGGGAGGATGACGATGTCTGAGATATTTGGTTTCGACAACGACTTCTGCTGTTGGTCTGAGTGTGGTTGTTGGGGGGAGAAGGGCTCCAGGGCTGCGAGGAGGGTTTGGAGACCTGAGGAGGTGAGGAGGTAGCGGTGTTGGATTTCGAGGAGGTCTGTGCGGAGGGTTGAGAGGGCTGTTTGGATTGGGGAGAGGTGGGTGGTGCTGGCGAAGGGGTAGGGGGTTATGGTTGTGCGGACGGTGAGGTGGATGTTGGTTAGGTAGATGCTTTGGGTGGTGTGGGAGGGGAGATCGGCGGCGGAGGATTTGGCGAGGTCGAGGAAGGGTTCCAGGGCGGAGTGGAGGACTGGGGTGAATTTGTTTTCGGTGTTGGTGGTGGTGGTGGTGTCCTGGGGTAGTGGTGGTGAGGAGGTGGGTTTGGGGCCGGGGGTAGGGATGGGGTCGGCGCCGTAGGAGGCCTCGTGGGTTTTCATTAGGGAGGTGAGGACTTCTAGCGCGTCTTGGAGGAATTGGGGTGCGGAGAGGTCCGCCGGGGGTGTGAGGGCTGAGGGGTCTGTTGAGATGTTGTTGACTTCGTCGTGCATGAGGGTTTCGAAGTGATTGAAGGTGAACTTTTCGAGGGTCTCGAGGAGCTCGGCGAGGTTGGATTGCGGGCCGAGGAGTTTGCTGAATGTCGTTTGGTAGAAGGATAGTAGGTTGACTACCTTGTAGCAGGTGACGGGGTCATCGTGGCCTTGGATGACTAGCTCGACGCGCTGGCGCAGGGCTCGGGAGACGCCAATGAGGTCTCGGTTGACTAGGTCGCTGAGAGCCTTTTGGCCGTCGAATGATACTTCTTTGTCTTCGTCGATACGGGACCAGGGTTCGCTGCTTAGTCCAGCTTGGATGCCTTTGGCGAGCTCTTCGCCGTCGGCGACGAAGAGGGCCTCGAGTGCCTCTCGTTCGGAGACGGTGGTGGAATGCACCCAGGCCAGCATGTCTCCGATGTACCGCAGGGGGTCGTGGGCGGAGAACTCGATTGGCTTCACGTTGGTGTCACCCGTCGTGCCAGAGACGGCATCGGTAAGGGCGTAGTGGAAGGCATCAGAGAGGACGTAGTCTCGCGCCTCCGCGAAGAAATCCAGGCAGCTGTGGAACAAGCTTGGCCGCTCCGCCAACACCCGCAGAACACGTCTGATAGAGCTGCTGATGCGAGGATCTTCAAGGTTGAGGGATCTGAACTCCTTCTGTATCCACCTGTAGAGTTTCTGGTAGGCGGAGTTGAGGCTTCTAGAGCTCTTCTCCATGAGTTCCAGACCCAGTCGCTCGTTCTCACCCCCGAGGAGTGCTTCGCAGTCCCGGTAGACTTGCTTGACTCTGGCGAGGACTTCGAAGAAATGGTCATCAATGGGCTCCTCGGCATGTGTCAGGATCAGCAGATCCTCATCGGGGACGATGAAATGTTGGGTGAAAGCTTCCAGCAGCTCCTGTTTGGTCTCTGCCTCTTTCTTCTGTTTCATCAAGGCCGACGCTTCCTCGAGCACTGGTACTGTTTCCTGTCTGGCAGAGACAATATGTTTGCGCATCTCATCGCAAGTCTGGTTCAGGTTGGTAATCACAGTTCCTATCCGTTTCAATTGCTGCGCAGCAGGCTAAGTTAGCATCCACTGGATCTCTCAGTATCGGCGCATCTCACCTCCGCAACCAGACCGAAATCCCGCACAATCTCAGCATTGCTGTCGACGACCTCCTTCTGAACGTCCAAGCGTAGTTGTCTCCGAACTTCTGCCGTATTGTGTATCCCCCTGAGGCTGAGTGTCTCCAGCGCATCGCGAATGTCCGAGTCCGCATAGGAGGCCGAAAGTACACTTGTCAGTCGGTTGGACAAAGCATTGGATCGCTGGTGTACGGGGGGTGAAAGCGGGGAGGAAGCTGGCGATGATGCTCGAGTAGAGCCATGGCTGGAGATGACTCCATTGGGAGGGAAATAGCTCGCCATCGTGGGACTGTTGGCCTAGTCGAGCTGTCTAGCTGGGATGGTCACTACGAGTGTCCCGCGGGATGGAAGCGGAGGCGGGATTCGGCGCAGCGCTTTCCCCGGCCGGGTTGTTGATCCGTCCCTGTACCTGAATCAATCAACCTTTGAACCTAATCCTTTCCTCAACCCGCATCCTTGAGAAAATACCAAGATATTTGATTGTTAGGCCTTTACATGGCTATTCAACCCTTGCATATCCCAAATAATTTCTAACAACACGATCGATTGCCATGGATAGCCCCCTCCTCTCCCCCGCAAAAGCGCGCCAAGCGGCCATTCAGGCCAAAGATTGGGCCTATGTCAATGCATGGCTCGGTCGTCAGTACGCACCGAATCCGGTTCCTAGCTTCGAGCGAAATGAAGATACACTCCGCACCCTCCTAGCACTGGCCGCTGCCAATGATACTGCGGATGAGGAATCCACCGTTCTCCACCAGGCTCGCGAGCAGGCGGTTGAAAGCTTCAAAGCCCGAGAGGAGAATGAGGAAAAGCAGAAGGTGGAAATACTGGATGAGGTGGAGCATAGTCTTGATGACAATGGCAGACGAAACCTGGACGACCTGGCAGAGACAACGGCAGTACTTGGGGCTTTGGGCACAAGTACGAGAGACCTGGGCCAATCGATCATTGAACTTACGGTGGAGGAATTCGATGCGCAGCAGCAGATGAGTAGAGTACAGGCATTACACGAATACTTGGGCAGAGAGCTGGCTATTCTGCGAGAACAACTTTTGGATCTCAAGACCAACGAGGTGTATGAAACACCAGCCAACCTCCCAGCGCTAACGGCGGAATGGACAAGAGAAACCAAATTGCTCAGCACCAAAGCTGGCGAATACCAAGATCGGATTGCCTCGCTACAGAGAAATAAGTGCAAAGGACCCACGCTTGAAGAAGTGATTGCGGAAGAGCAGAGCGTGATCAGGATGCTGGAAAGCACTAAAACACTAGTGGAGAGGGTAAAGAAGCTCCATGATCTGCCAAGCGACATCCCTGGTGCTCGGGCGCAATACAAGGAGCTAGAACAGGAGCTTGACCGAATCACCCAGCAACGGAACACTATGTCTGAGAAGCTTGCCGAAATGTAGATTCTACACTACAAATGATGTAGGACTTTGTTTATCAAATGTTCAACTAGTATTGAGCTAGGTAGAGGTGATACTATCAAGGTGTGGTATCGTCAACTCATAAAATCATGAAAAGGACAATCTGCCGTGAGCCGCCAACCCATCGTTCTCCGATTCCATGCATCACAGAACAGTGAAAGCGCTATTGGTCACGACTCGTCGATCGATTGTGTTCGGCAGTGCTGTGCACTTAGTTGTTACCCAGACCGAGGGTGTCCTTGATCTTGTCGCCACTGCAGAGTCTGTTAGTTAAGATGTTCGCATTGACCACTACATGATCAGGGATATACTGACATGGAGCCGGAAGCACCGCCGTGGGAAGTGTTATCGTGGGAGCGCTGGGTCTTGTCGAAAGCCTCCTGCGTGCCAGACTTGCTGTTGTCGGACTGGAAGCCGCGAGCGACGCGATCACCGGTGTCGGTAACGGTCTCCTTGACCTTGTCCTGGGTGGACTTGGCGGAGTCAGGAGTGAACTCCTCCTTAGCCTCTGCAGAAGCGAGTAAGTATCACGCAAGCCAATTGGTATGGGGCGCCTGAGCTCAGGAACAGGAGACATACTGGTGGAGAAATCCTTGCGACCGGCGTCAGACATGTTGATTGATGGTTGTTAAAGAGGACTTGAAAAGTGCTGGATGTAGTTGAGTTTTGGATTGGATGTTGCGATTTGTAGATGATTGGATTGTTGATGGAGGAGACACTCATCGACGGTGCAAAGGAGTCTTTATATAAGTTTTTGAGTCCTCAAGTTGCTCCATGACGTCGACAATCCTGCAGTGAATGGCTACGCCATCGATGAATGTTGGTTGCGACCAGTGAAACCGGGGGGATGCAGTCCTGGAAGAGATACCAGCGAATCAACGTCATCATGAGGGGAATACCCCGGTTTCGATCAGGACGCCGGATCTTGCATGTGCGTCATCGGGGCATGACGATATTTGAGTTTATTCACTGTGTACAGTGTACGGTCTACTGTGTACAAACTACAAGGTCGAAAAAGCGGATGGCGCCAGACCTCGCCGATCTGGTCCAGACTTTCCTCTTTGGGGGCGCCCCTAGTCATGACGTCTGCATGATCGCATGTAGCTCGATGCGGTTAGCGTCAGAATGTTCTCGGAACTATGTTAAAGCGGATACCGATATTGAGCTAAACTGCAAATAGTATAGCTTTGTTGTGCAATGTAAACAGCAAGCGGTAGCCATCAGCAGAAAGCGGCCAGCTGTTCACCGCCACGCGGCGAGCCCCTTCAGGCCGACTGCCTGTTGTCCTGCCTGACGCTCTCCCTCTCTTCGTCCTTCCAATGCGTTTGGCGCCAACACGCTCTCTTGTTAGGTCTGCTGGACCACCATGTTGATCGGCTCTATATCTATTTGCTCTGTTTTTCTTTGCGATTTTGACCTACCGTTTTCCGTTTGTGCTTGACGTTCTCTGCGAGCCCGCCGGTTTGTGATTATCTCTGGAGGCAACCCCGCTCGTCTTATCAATCACTGCTCCAGCTGCTGCCGGGCAATCAACACCCTCATTGCACACCAATCTCGCCCTCGTACTTGTAATGCCATCATCGTTTGAATCAGCTTCAAATTGGGATCTCACTCCGGTGATCAATCTCCTCCGCACCCCGACCTACGGCACTGGTAGCTCATCGGTTCCTTATCGCCACCCGGAGTCCGCCTCAGTTGTTCGGCCTGCTTGGGAGACAAACAACAACGATGGCACCGTTTCCTCTGTTAATGTGCGCGAGGTGAGACCTGGTGAGGGGGCCCCTCCGAAGCTAGGAGACTTTGGTTCTCTTTGGGAGCTTTTAGGCAGTACTAGCATCTCGGCCACCCGCCCACCAGTTGAACCTTGTGAACTTCAGCGAAACACGCCTACCCCTACGCCACATTCGCCTAAGCGGATCGAAATCCTCAAACGACCTTTAAATGACCATGTCGACTCTGCAGGCTTGGATGAGGAGCCTTCTCGTACTCCGTCAAAGCCTATACCTGTCTCCAGGTCCCGCAACTTGCAGGCCAAGACCGCCGGGAAGCGAGCTCCCAATAAATCAGATGTTGCACTAAGCAAGCATGTAGATGAGGCTAGCACCTTTGAGAGCGCTGTGGAAGCCGAGTCTGATGGCAACCTTAGCGTCTTCGATCCTCCTCTGCTCATGAGTGGAAGCACTCCGTCGCTGGTCCCTCCGCAGGTCGGCACGGCGGGTGCCATGTTTGATCCATATGAGACGCCGCCTTCCTCCTATGATGAGTCGATGGAGGCATCTCCCCCGAAGATCGTGAAAAACCCTCCCAACACTGGCACGCTACGCGTACAGCCTATTGCATACAGGTCCACGGCCGATCGGAGGATCGGTCTCTTGACTAAGCTTTTGAAGAACTTCCCCGACTATGCAGATGCAGTAACCCAAGTCGGACGGCCTTTGAACTCTAAAAAGACGGACGTTACCCGCCGTCCCATCCATGTCTTTGTTGACATGTCCAATGTATGTATGATTCAAGACTAATGGTGTGTTTGTGCTAACTGGGCCAGATCATGGTTGGATTCCACGATACGGTCAAGCTATCGCGCAAAATTCCGGTGAAGACGCGGATTCGTCGATTGCCTTTGTCATTCCAAAACTTCTCTCTAATCCTCGAGCGTGGCCGGCCCACCGCCAAACGAGTCTTGGTGGGCTCGGATCGATTTGCAGCCATCACCGAAGGCGAACAACTTGGTTACGAAGCCAACATCCTCGATCGGGTCTACAAAGTCAAGCATATGACTCCTCGTCAAATGCGGTTCCGCAAGAATCCTCGAGCTGGCGCTCACGACCCTGGTAGCGGTTCAGAAACGAACGAAGCATCAGAGGAGCGCTGGGTTGAGCAGGGTGTGGACGAAATTCTGCATCTGAAGATTCTCGAAAGTTTGCTAGACACGGACGAACCAGCAACCATCGTTTTAGCCACGGGAGACGCGGCGGAAGCCGAATTCTCGGGCGGATTTATGAAGATGGTAGAGCGGGCGCTGAGCCGGGGCTGGGCCGTAGAGCTGGTCAGCTTCAGCCAAGTGACGAGCTATGCTTATCGCCGGAAGGAATTCCGAGCGAAATGGGGGAACCGGTTTCGGATGATTGCGTTGGACGAGTATATTGAGGAGCTGCTGGATATGTAGGCTTTGGTTACTGCATTAGTTGTTGCTGCTGGCAGGTCAGATTGTTATTCCTTTCAGAATAGGATGTTGGTGGTTTTATGAAGATATTTATCGGTGTTAGGAGCTCGAGATTAGGATGCAACAAATTGAACCATTCCCGAGACTACTGCTGAGCCTAGATTTAACTATGGAAGTATACAGTGTCTGTCCATACCAGCTTATGGCACCTAGTACTCTTATTTACCTAGTAGCATAAACCGAATTTCGTACTAGTGTCCCCAGTCAGTGTGCTTATATTTACATCGTAAAATAACTGAGGCTGTTGATATCCAGAACTACAGGTACTATCTAGGGATGGAAGTGGAAAGATATATATCCATCTGTCAGGGATGCATACCAGAATTGGGGATGAAAAACATATACACACTCCCCAGCCATATGACAGAAATAATTATAGTAAATACCCTCATCAGCTCCTCATTAAAGTGTCAAATCTGATGTCTTCAGTTCTGCCAAAATATAAGTAGTACTAAGTAGAGTTGTTCCTCGGCCGGCCATCCGAACACCCCGCCCCCACCATCAATCAAAGTTCCGCTCCGCGCAGCAGCCGAGCTTTTCCTCTTTTCCATCATACCAACAATCTACAACATACCTCTTTTCTCCTTCCTATCCTCTCATACATATTCATCTACTTTGACCCGAAAAGCAATCGCATATCACCCACACCACACATCCACTCTACACAACACAACACCATCCCACCATGACCTCACCACCAACAACATACACCCCGCAACCCCTCTACGGCGGCGCCATCAAAGGCCTCATCCCCAAGGGCTGGCTAGATGCTAGGTACATACATACCTACCCTCCCCTCCCACTCTCTCCCCTTACCCTCCATACTAACGAAATAAAATAAAAAAAGTAACCTCCGCCAAATCCCCGACCACCAAGAACTCTACCTCTCCCCAACAACCCTCTCAACCCTAATCTACGAAATCAACGAATACGTCCCGGACACCACAAGCCAAGAAACATTATCCAAGCATGGCGAATTATTCGCTTCCGCAACCAGCACCACATCTCAGAACCAAGATAGAAGAGAAACCCTCGATAAAGCCGCCATCCTCTACCACATCCTGGATATCCAAGAAAATGACACCGTCAGTAAAGAGACCATTCGGTTCCGCACGCCCATTACGAGTGTGGGTCGTCGGGAGGGGACTGGGGCTGGGAGGGTGTATACGGGGAGGGTGGAGTTGGGGAAGGAGGGGAAGGATGCGGTGAGATGTGCGTTTTTGGTGGTGAGGTTGGAGGAGCAGGGGAGTGATTTGGTGGTTTGGGGGAATGTGCCGGTTAAGGAGTTTGAGGGGAGGGGGGATGGGGATGGGGATAGGGATGGGTTGAGAGGGGAGGAGGGGGTTGTTGGGGGGGTGGTGGAGGGGTTGCTTGGTGGTGATGGGGATGGGTTGGTGGTTGTGGAGTGGGATTTGTTTGGATAGATAGGGGGGGGGTCTTTTGGTTTTCTGATGTTTCGTGTGTGTCTGGGTGGTGGGAGGAATGATACCATTGTGTGTGCGTGCTAGGTAGTTACTTAGATAGTTCTAGATAATATTGAAGGATCACTACACAAATATTTGAAAGTAACACAGTAATCGGTGTATGTATCTTGATTGGTCTGTTTGTACACCTAGAGAAAAGAAAAGAACGAAATGAAACAACAAGCTGTATGTATGTACATGATCGCTAATAACAAGACATTCAACCGTCAGTCATGACATACATCAAATTTTATACCTACTAGATCATCATCCCCAAGTCCATCTTCACAAGAATCTCCAATTACGTCTGCCTCTGCGTCTCATTCAACACGCGGCCCACCTCATTCAACAATCCCCTGACGCTTGGAGCTGGCGCGTTCACCGACTTCTTCAATGGCGACACATTCCTCACCTTGGGTTGAATCTGCTGCAGGATGCCCTGGCACCGGCATCGATGTCTCTTGGGGTCGATGCTCTTCGAGTGACGCCCGTAATCCAAGTTGCAGTGCACGCAGCGCCAGACGTACTTATAGTCGATGGCGTAGTCATGCTTGATCGAGATCTCGACTTTCCCACCGTAGACAGGATGGTTCCTCATTGCTTCCTTGCACTTGCTGGCCCAGGCCTTGAAGCTAGCGCCGTGAGGGTTATCATGCACGCCTGAGATCATGTAGTTCGCCAAATGACAGAACTCGTGTGCGACCGTCTTGATAATCCGCTCCTCACAGTCGACAACTTTCGCTGCCAGTTCGATGGTGGCATAATGCTGCGGTGGCATGGCCGGGTCTCCTCCCTTCTTCGGTGACGGGGTAACACACTTCCAGGATGCTCGACCGGCGGTCGTTTGGAGTCGCTTTTTCCATTCGATGATCACGCCTCCTGTTGAGGCGGTCATTCTTGAGAGTCGGCCGTCGGTCACGGTGTCGTCGAGAACTTTGAAGAATTTCTCGGCCATGGCTTGTCTGTTCTCTATGAATGCCTTCGCACGTTCCCGCTCGAGCTTTCTCTGCTCCACTTCGGCCTTCTTCATAGCTGTCTTGCTGGGTGTTTTTGCTGAGGACTTGGTTGTGGTCTTCGGTATTACGGTCTTGGGCAAAGTATCCCTGTCACTGAATTCATCATCCGAGTCCGAGTCGTCGAATTTGCGCAGTAGATCGTCGATCTTGCACGGAGAGTGCTGGTCGATCCAGTTGTTGGTGTTTTCCTGGCTCCAGAATGCGTCGACGCTCTCTCGGTGTGGTGTTGGTGGGATGTGGGCCTTCAACTTGGTTGGAGATCGTAGACTGCGTCCCTTTGTTGGACTAGATGGGGGCGTCTCTAGATTAACACTGCTCCTCGATGGGAGCTTCTTGGTGGGGGCGTCTACTTCTTCGACACTGCTGCTTGGTGTTAATACATATATGGGTGGCTGGGGGTCTCCATCTAAACTCACTCATAAGTGTATTTCTCTTCCAGCTTGGGCTCTATGTCTTTATTGTCCAGCTTCAGCTTGTTCAACTTCTCGGATATTTCGAGCTCGCTTTGAAACAACCTCTTGGGCTTTGCCTCGAGCTTGGGGACCTCCATTGTTATCGTAGCAGGCACCGAAGGCTCCAAGTGAAGGCTTTCACGCGGGGAATCCTGAGGTGTTGTCTCCGGCTCTATTTCTGGACGGGGTCGTCTCCCTCTAAGCAGTCTCTTTCTAGTCCTAGGCGGCGAAGGGGTTGGCTGTTTCTCTTCTTGTTCTTCTTCGAGGCTTTCATCGTCGGACGTCTCATGATAGCTGATATCTTCATTGTCGCTGACAATGAAATCGTCCAGGGAGTCAAAGCCATTATCATCTTCGCTTTCTTCGCCCTCCGACTCCGTCTCCTCTCGACGATATCCCATATACCTCGTCCTGGACCTGCCCCGCGGCTGTACCTCTCTGTTCGTAGTACGTGTAGGCGCTCGGTTCGAAGCAGTAGACGAGTTCCTTGAGAGCCCGGAACTCTCATCTGCCTCTTCTGCCTCATCATCGATCGGATCATTTTCCTTATCATAGTTATAGCCGACCGACTTACGCGGCGGTCTATTATTCCGCGACTGCTGCGACAATGGAAGCAACAAAGAATTGACCTGCGAGAGCTTCAAAGGATCCGCAGTGCGTCCCTCATTCGACATCAAAGACCGTGTAGACGACAAACTGCTCTCCTCCGTTTCACTCTGCTCATCCCCATTGTCCGAGAAGATATCGAATACCCCACTGGAAACAGTTCCCGATCTTTGTAGTCTGTTGCTATTCTTCCTCTGCGACGATTCTTCGATCGCTGGCGTTGTCGCGGAGTATTGGCTCTTTGTCCATGTCTCGGCGGCGGCCCATTGTTCTACTGTCTTGGCTTTTCCTGTCGGGGGGTATTTGTTGTCTCTGGTGTCGCGCTTGATGGTCGCTGTACGATTGAGAGTCCTCTGCCGTGGAGGTGTTCGGCGCTCTTGGAGCTTTGCTGGCTTCGTGGGACTGGATGGGTTGAGTCGAGCCATTCTGGTCTTGTCTTCTCGTGCGGTGCGGCTGCTGGTGATGGCAAGACACGATCAAGTGCTTCTCTTCCTCCTCCCGCTCCTGCAGGACAGGAAGTGAGATGTCAGAATGCACCTGCTGTGATGCCGGTGCTCGGTATATGTGGTGTCTGCGGGCTTGCAGATGTAGGTGTGGTGTACCTGCGTGTGAGCTGGTGCTGGATATATCTATGCAGGTGGTCTAGATAATGTTGATGGATGGTCGAGGAGACGTGGTTGGCACGGCAACCTCGGTACTGGTTCGCCTACCACGGGATGGTCTGGTGGCAGCCATTGGGTTTAAGGTTCCATGGTGTCCTTGGTATGTAATTATCATCGAGAGTCGGGAAGTTTATTCGTCTCACGACACAGTTTCAAGTTCCTATCGATACAAAATGATGTCTATATGAGGGATGAGGAAGAAAAATAAAAGCAAAAAGATGAAGACAAGGCCCGAGCCGCGGATCGAACGCGGGACCTCTCGCAGATATGCTTGGGTTTGTATCCCTAAGCGAGAATCATACCACTAGACCACCCGGGCTTGTTATGATAAACGCCTCTAACTTTGGCTTTATCAACAGCCAGTAAAATAATCACATCCCAAGTAGATCGCAAACGACTTAACACCATGCTTGGCCGAGTATCATAGATTCCTGGTTTAGTTTTCGGTTCAAGATGAGGTTACTATTTCATAATTCCTACTCCGGCTTCATTACTTCTTTTAGTTGTGTCTAGTGTGATTTTTACTGGTGCAATGCATTTCCGTGGATAGAGTGGCGTAACTAATATATATTTACCCACGGGTTGGGCGTTTTGGTGGGAAACGGTAATCATCGTCACCATGTTCACTTAACTTGTGTAAGTAGTGCTAATCAAAACAAAGGACGGCGACAACATCTCGCATAAGACAGACATGGGCACATAAATGAAGCTCACTACCCTGCCCGACAGTACACATAGCCATCCCGCCTTATCGTGTGGGGTGAAGAACACCCGGAATTACGGCAGGGGAATAGCATTATTCGGAGGTATGCACGCACTTTACTTATCGAGGCAATACTAATAGATACGGTGGCATAGAGAATGCAAAATAGAAAATCAATCTTTGACTAGATATTGCCAACGCTATCTAGTCATAGATCTATCGAAGGCGACCGAGGAATTTAAGATAACTACGCCAATAGCATAGTTATTGCACCCAACAGAAAGAGTGCGTCCCAACAAACAGATATCCGACTGAACGGCGATCGTAAGAAAGCGTTGCTTGAAATGCCGCCACTGATACTGAGGGCGCACGGCGTGAGGGTTGTTCAAGTCGGACTTGTCACAGTAACAACCCCATGGTGTATTAGCAAAGCCCACTGGCCGACGAAAAAACAGATCAACGTCGCCTGGGCGGAGCGGCATCGAAGTCGATGAGGGTGTGTGGTATGGGCATAACCCACATAGAAATATTATTTCAAAAGAAAGCTCAAGAGATCTTCGGGCGCTTCGCATCAGGGAACCCAGCAGAACTCCGCATACGCTTCCGCTCCATAGCCTCCATCTCCTGCTTCATGATGCGCTCCTGCTCCGTCATCTTCTTGGGTTGTTCCATAACTGGCCCCTTCTTTCCTGCGAGAGGGTTCTTCTTTACAGCCGCAGCAAAGACATTCTTCGGCTTGTTTCCACCACCACCGAAGGACAAAGATACTTTCGGCGCAGCCTGGGGCGCAGGCGGGGCGGAGGCGGGAGTGGCAGCGGCAGCAGGCGCAGGCGAAGCATCGGCAGTTTCTGGAGTGGCCGACGCACCGCCATCCTTCTCCTCAGACGATGCGGGCTTCGGTGACTCGCTCTTCGAATCGCCGTTTGTCTTCGAACCGAATCCAATATTCAGCTTGACCTTCTCACCCTCCTTGCGTTGCAGCTTGCGAGCTTCAGGGTCGATATCTTCCTCCTCCTTCGCAGACTGCTGAGCGCGCTTAATCTGCTCCCGGATCTGTCGCTGCTCCTGTTCCTCATCTCCTCTGTCCTGACGTTCCTTCTTCAGCAGAGCCTCCTGTCGTCTCATGGCCTCCGGACTCCGATCGATATAAGACACGAAAAGACCCTTTTCAGTCTCCTCGACACGGCATATTCCCTCACGACCCAGGTATGCAGCGAACTGTGAAAGACTCTTCCATTTCGTAGCGTTCATATGGATGTGCTATTGTCATGTTAGCAACATACTCATTCCACAAGCATCACTCGAACCACTAACCTCCTTATCCGCAATGACTTGCTGGTAGAACTGGTTGATGTGAACCTTCTTCTCGCCATGACCGGTCTTGAGTAAATTGAGAAAGTTGTCGAGGAATTGTTTGCTGTAGTCTTCGATGTATTTCTTGGGGTCTTCGCCGATCAGCAGCACCTGGCGCACATGGCTTTCACTCTGGACATGGCTTGGATAAGTCAGTATCATAAACGTTGGATCTTTCACTAAATAGGAAACTCACCAGCGAAAGCCGTTCTCATCGCGACACTGGCGCGAACAAGCCTGACAATACCATCTAAGCCTGCCTAAGCCTTTCTGTTGGACATTAGTATGTTGATTTGGAAGTGGATAAGAGGGCAACGTACAGCCTTGATCTTGTTGCTGATCGCCTTTGTTGATCCAGCTTCTGCGCGCGGCATGGTGGGTAGAGACAATCAAATCCGATGATCTCTCAGAGAACCGAAGAACAGGAATAGAAGAGAACGCTTAGACAGGGAACTTTGAATGTCGAGCGGAGCGCTTTGCAATCAAGACGCGGAGCGGGTGGCGGAATCGCTGAGATGACTAAGTTATCACGTGAAGGAATAATCTTCCCATTTGGGCTAGATAAGCCGATAAGATAAGTGCCGAGCTTCAAGGGGTTCAACCCAGCTCCTCGAGCTCTTGAACCCTTTCAACTTTGAGGGTCAAACGACCTTTGTAAGAGGTCAAGTGACCCTAAATACCAGCACGTGACTGTAAAGCACATTACTAAGCAAATCAGAGTCAATCGACCTATTCATAGTACTTAAGTTTCTTGTATTTCCAGAAACCATACCACTTGTTCTCTAAGTTACAGGAAGTAAATACCTCCAAACCACTAGGAATCTTAGCTGGTTGGAAAAAAATTTTAGTAAATATAGTAATTGCTTATTACTACCAGCGCTCACTCGCTTAGAGAATGTGAATCCAGTAAATAATATTGTAACTGAACTGAATAGATGAGTTGACCCGAAAGATGATCTTCCGTAAAGTAATAATGACCACAGCTCACCAGGCCCACGCTAATTTCTCGCCAGACCAGGCTAACGTCTTTGGGACTAGAATAAAACTAAAGCTGACCAGATCTGGTCAGGTCAGCAATCACGTGACCACCCAAGTGGGTTAGCGCAGGTCTGGCGAGGAATTAGCGTGGGCCTGGTGAGCTGCGTCCTGGAAAGGGGTCAACCAAGCTAGATTTAATGTCTATCCGACCTGCAATCGTGGTGCGATATATGACTGATAAGCCACCATAGGGTCAACGGAGTTAAGATACTGTCTAGCCGACCTACAACTACACTTTGAGCTCGGATAAATCCGAACTTCGAGGGGCAACAATAACACATCGATTTGTTTTAGTGCATATATTGCCGGAATACGCAAGAAAGTCTGTTCGAACATGTATGAAGCTTTCTTGATTGAAAAAAGCGGGGGCTGACTTCTCAATCCGTTCTCTATGCAATGAGCTGTCGAAAGCCCCATGCCCACATCCCAGATCTCAGATAGCGAAGGCTATGATCGCCCAAGCTCTAGTATGATCTCTTTTATCCGAGAGTGAAACTCGCTCAAATCCTTCAATCTTTCGAGGCCCGGTACCTTCTTCGAATGGCACGTATTTATCGACCAAATAATACAAGTCATCATAGTCTCTAGCTTCGGAGTCAGCTATTCACGTGCAGAGAGTTTGGGAGGGCAACTCACATCTGATGAGCAGAAGTCCCCTGACTTCTACGATTGGCAGAGTAGATAATATCATAGTACATCGAGTACATGCGGATCCTGTCATCCCATTCCTGACAGGGCTCACTGGGCGCAAAGTGACGTAAGTAAGTGAATGCATACACTTGGTCGTGGATCTTGTTATAGTTGCATCGGCAATTAGCTGTCTCCATCTCACAGTGCGCATAGAATGCGGCAGAGTCAAAGATATAGATGTTTTTGTATATCTAAGTGTAAGTGGGTCCTGGGGCTGTTTGGTGTATACGAAGTATATGGCATGCGGTGGAGATTGCAGAGAAGTAGGACTACATGAAACTGAAATGAATCCCATCACATATTTTACATGAGTACATCAAAGTAGCTGTCTACATACCAACCAATCCCCAAACTACCTACGCCAACCCCACCCCCACCGCAAAACAAGCCCACGCCGCAAAATCCACCGTCCAAGTCCTCACCCGATGAATCGTCAACCAACCCTCCAGATCCACCGTCGAGGAACCCTTTGACTCATCCTCCATGATGGCCAGCACCTTCGGAGCAATAATAGGCACATAAAGCAAATGACTAGCGGCGAGTGCTGTGCCGGCTACATACCACGACAAGGATGATTGGAGGCCCGCTACTACCCCTGATCGACGATCCTTTAGAATGTTGTATCCGCCTCCCGCCATGGAGATGGCCAGGAGGCCTAGGACGCGGACAACGCCGCGGCGGAAGAGCACGCGGAAATAGGATGGTAAGATCTCGTTGCTGCGGGGACGGTGGTCCGGGTGCAAGAAGACGTTTAGGACCAGGTCTTGGTCGAATGCGAACCAGAGGGTGCAGGTAGATGAGATGAGGGGAGCGGCGCGGAGGAGGTTGTGGGGGTTGAGGATGAGTCCGGAGGCCATTTTGATTTGGTTGTACTATTTTGGAGATGGAGGGTAAAGAGTATGTAGAAAGTAGAGGAGTGAGACGGTGTATGGGTGATTGAAGAGAAGAAGAGAAGAGTAAGATGCAGCCGGATGTCGGGAGGCTGTTTCCCGGGTGAGACGAGCTACTGTTTAGTGTGTTACAGCGGGCATAGCGGCCATCCATCCCGTAGTGCGTGAGGCTGGTAGGAGCTTGGTTACATGGCATAGCCACACACCCCGCGCCAAAATCTTACGGTGGGTGCAGGTGAGGGATGGTCGTTAATTCACTGGCGCGACCCAAAATGGCTTAGTAAGTACTTCCAGATCATGTGACTGTCGCATCACCTACAACAATAATTTCAAATCACACCACCTCTTTTCTTTTTCTTACCATTTACTAACACTACCTCTATCTCTACCACCACCACCACCGATCAGCATGGCCGAACTCAAGGAAAATGTAAGTATAACTACTTTCTAAGTAGTTTATAAATCCTCTATCAGAATTCATATATAGAAGCTCTTCGAAATCCATAATATTCAAGTACTTAGTAAGTACTTAGTAATTACTTGCCGTTAGACTGTAAATTATGAATTAAAAGAAAAGTTAAAATTCAGCGGGAAGATACAGTAATTATAAAGATCATGCGACTTGTTATTGATGACTAATGCTTGTTTTGATCACGTGTAAAGGGTAAGGATCACGCGACCCTTCCCGTAGAGTCACGCGACCTGTAGCCACAATCTTACGGCCTTGAAAAAGGCTGCCATGGATCAGTCATCCGACACCTTGGCCTTTTGTACGACAATTCGAGGAGGGGAGGCTCCAGAGGATCAAGAGTTGCCTGTGGGGTAATTAGGATTTGATGGTGCCTGATTTGAAAG